ATAATTTCCAGAAGCAATTATCACCAAATGAATTCAATATGATTTAGTGGTCGTATGACCTATAGCCGCCATGGAAATAAAGTCTAAATTAACAACCCATTAATTATTTTAAACACACGTCGTAATAAAATCTTAAAAAAAAAACGCAAAAAAGACCAAATATGAACAAAAACTCCAACATAGAAAAGGGTTCCTTTGTTATTGAACAAACAACAGATTTATGTAGTTATAATTTATTGGAATATGTTGAAGAGGGAAGCAATTGATGAACAATGGATGGCTGTATGTATGACCACAGCAATTGTTAAGAAAATAAAACCAAGATGCGATAAGCAAAACTCGTTTGGTCATAATTGTAATTTACTTAAGTATTATAAGTTTTATTTAAAAAATAATTATGTATGAGTTAAGTTTTTTTTTAATTTTTTTTTTAATTTGATAAATATACTAAGCGCTTGATGTCTTTGCAAGCCTTTGGAATGACTTTTTAAAAATAAGTCGTATGTGAAAAACTAATAAAAAAGTGTTATATTCATGGAAGATAAATTATGCTCACACATAACAACCCAGATTTTTTGAATAGTTTTTTGTTTACAATTAGCTTTCCATAAATATATAAAAGAAAATATTGGTTAGAAAATCTGATAAATCGAAGGGTAGGTAAACAGATGCAAGGTATACGACCTTGCTTCAGTGGATGTGGATAATCCTGTTGAGGGGAGAAAACATAAGTTCTTGTGACATAAGATATATAAGATAAGATACCGAGAACCCGTGTCAGCGTAGAAAAGTTGGAAATTTCCGTGATTTAATCTAGAACCCTTGTTGCGAATCGTTCTAAGTTCATGGATTCAAGCTATATGTATTTTACCTGTGTTAATTTTAGCCATCAGAGCGTTAGTAGCCGTCTCGCTCCGATGGAGGTTTATTTGTATAACCTTAATCATGGTCATCCATTAAACTATCTTCCAGCGAGTTGGTGATCATGTCCTCGCTCTTTGGACTTGACTCCTCCGAGTAGCCTGAAGAGGCTATTAGTGCAGTGGGTACTATTCCCAATTTTGGTAAGCACTGCTTTTCTACCTTCTGGCGAGTGAGTGATTTCCTCTTGACTCCTTAACATTACCAGTACTTGCTATGCTTTGGGTACCGTCTTAGGTGTTTTAGTGTCATTGTCGTGGCCGGTTTTGACAGCCCTTTCAATTGGCGCCTTACTAATTTTGGCGAGTTAGCGGTAACTTCCTCGCTTTTAGGATTTGACTCCTCAACGTTATCAATAGTGCCTACTGATGCTATGGTCTTATGTTTTTTAAAGTCCTTTTTGAGGCTTGTTGTAGCAGCCCTTCCTATCGGCACCTTCCCAGTTTTAAATATGACAGCTTTAGAGGCTGAGTAAGCCCTACCTTTATTCTTGGCAAAACTAGCCATAGAGTTCTGGTCGATACCTATTACAAATAAAATTTCCTCAAGTTCTTCTTTCATGTAAAAGACATCCCGTTTTTCCACGGCCTGCCCAGCATTTTGACCACCAAGTATACGTTCATTAGCCAGTTTACAGCCCCAACCTTTTATGTAGACAGTGGAATGTATGAGCACCGGAAGCTCACTCTTCTTTACCAGTCCCAGCTTAGCGCCGTCCCAGGCAGTTCTTTAGGGTGCTAACACATTGGCCCATGCTAAGCTCGCAGCTCACGCTCTCTATTTGTTGTTTGCCCTTTGATGCGATTGCGTGGTCCATTATCTTATTGTTGACCAGGTCTTCTATTTTACACTGTTGGTCTATTGGAATTTTGTCTGTCGGATTACCGGCATCGTAAACTGTTTAGCAGAGATAGTCCCGGTGTCTTCTTCTGACAATTTTGGCGTAAGATGGCGGCTCTTTTCCTTTTCCACTGTCTAGCTTCTTCTTTCTCGTATCTCCTGTATCTCGGGCTTCTTTTGAGGTACCCTTACCTTCGAGGGTGATTTCGCCGACGTGGTCGTCTTCGGAATATCTGGCTTGGCGTTGTCACCCTTACTCGCAGGATTCTGACTTGAGGTTCCTTTGAGTGAAAACGGGGAGCTCTTTTTCTTCTTAGGTTTATTCTCAGTTGTCAACTCCTCGAGAGACCTGATCCTCTTTGCCTCAGATATTGTGAGAGAATCCGATTTTTTCTTTGGAGTGTTGTGGGATTTACTATGATTTCATGAAGCATCTCCCTTGTGCTCAAGAAAGTCTTTTCTTAATAATAGGTAGCTTAGCTATGCTATCACTCACCTCTTTCACCATTTGCTCTACTTCATCCTTTTTGGGATTTGCTATAATGGTGTTGTTATTATCATCTAAGGATTCAGAGTCGGAGCCCTTACCTGTATTTAAAGGCTGAAGTAGCTTAGAGCTCTCTCCGAGTACACCCTTCTCATTCACCCCTATGTTTTTGCCAATGGCATGTTGTACACTTGACGCATGGTCCGCAACGGAAGCCAAGGTACCCACCTCCTTAGTAGTCTTTTGCTCCCGATTGCAGGATGACGATGACACGTGACTCGCGAGCAGATGAACACTTGCAGCCGGTACTGGGTTATTTAGGTTATTTTTTATTTCCGATAGTTAAGTTCAGGATTGGAACAAATCTTTATTGTTGCAAACAGTCTTTTAAACAGAAGCAATTAAGAAAGTCGCAAGATCCTTTCAAAACACGAGAAGGACGGATTCTCTTCTTTACTGTTCTATAGAGTAGCGAAAAGTTCTTTTATGGGGTCTCTTGCTTCCAGACGTACGTAAGCCTAGACAATACCTGGACTAGAGATAATTATTCTCAGGCTGAAATTCCCTAACAGAAGAGTGTGACGAACACTCATTTGGCAGTTCAATTAAAGCCAAAGGCAGCGTGCTTTCTTATTGTTGAAGAGCATTTTATCGACTTCTTATCTTCAAAATCTTCCGCCCAATATGAGATAAGTTGTAATTCCCAAAATCGGCAAAAGAAGTCATGAGTATACGAAGGAGAGACTCATCAACTACATAAAAGATCGAGCTACAGAAACAGATCAAGAAGAGTTTGTAAAAGTTATAGAGGACGTTTTAGAAATGTGACGAGGCACACCACAGGGTGGCATGAAATCTTATCTACTTTGACTCATTGTTATCAACTTGATTCTTATTGAACTGGACAATAAAGAGATACAAATTATCGTTTATGACGACGATGTACTATACTAGTATATAGAACGTTTCCCGATGTCGACATCAATTTTCTGCAACTTAGGTCTAGGGTAAATTCATGCAAAACATTCCCTTATCGATCAATGGATCGAAAGGGATCCATGCAGTAAGAAAGAGTCCTTTAGTGACATGGTATGTGTTAGCAGTGCATCGAGTATTAACTCATCTGAATGATGGAAATCAAGAACATACTGGCTCGCTAGAATTTTAAGTTAGCTGCCCCTAGCCTTCAACCATTTGCCTATCTTGCACCACATACAGAGTTCCCTGCAAAAGTGAGAGGGGTAAAACTCTAAATGAATAGGTATTATACGGATGGTTCAAAAAATACGCTGTTGGTTCTGGTGAAGATCTTGAGTTAATAATTCTCGTCGTAAAATGTTCAATATTCTCATTCTTTTTAGAAGCATTGCTAGTCCCTGTTGATTAGACAATATAGGAATGATCTTTCAAGGCTTTGAAGTTTATCTGATATTAGTTTAGGTTCCTGTGCATAGACAACTACGATAATGAACAGCCAGAATGGTATCTGCTCTGAATATCTCTGACGCAATCAAATTCTTAATTCCCTGGGGTTTATTAAAAGTGGTATCCTCAGATCCTTTCTGCAAAAGGCTGAAACCGATGAACAATCTGGATATATGTACATATATGGCCCTCTTTTAAATAGAAACGCACTATGCAACTATAACCCGTAAAAGACGATAAATATCTAGATTGCTGACAGTAATAACTGGACATTGGGTACTAGGTCGACATGCTAGTAGACCCTGATATCAATGTGTGCATCTTGTCGAGAATAATCCCGAGGTCTTAAAATCATCACAGACCACACATTCTACCAAAGAGCCGGACTGGCTTATAAAGCCCTGGTGACTTTGCTAAAATCATCGTATTCGTATAGATTACAATTTGTATCCTTATCGAGGACAATCCAAAGGTATTTAACATTAACCGAGAATTAATTATTTATTTGAGAATAAGTTAGCCTTAGAGATTTCTGTTTTGGATCGGTGAATTGTTATCATTTGCTAGAATAAAATTAACTAACTTCTAAATTTTTAGAAATGAATCAAAAACATCCCAATTTGGAATATTTTTAATCCTCACAATTCAGTCCAGTGTAGTGTTTACATTTTACTTAAAAAGTCAAGAAGCACCAGAGATTAAAATAATATTAATTTAAAAATAAAATTTAATGGGTTCATTTTAGTTAAAATAACTTGTTGGTGTTTTTACATACATACTTGTTTTTTGACGTAGTAGTTGCTTTGATTAAAATCATAATATTGTTGTAATGAGTATTTGTTGTTGTTCTTTTTGCTTCTAAAATATTCTCTAATTTAAGATAAGATTTCGTAGTTGTTGTTGTTGTTGTTGGCAATTTGGTCAATGGTTGTTTTGGCGCATCATCATCAGCATTAAATTTCTGTGTGTTTCCATTTGTCTCACATAAATTTGATGAGTGACGTTGTTCATTGAATTGTTGTTCTGCTGTTGGTGTTTGTTGTTAAAATTGTTGTTGCTGTTGTTGGTGGTGGTGTTGGTGTTAAAATTATTACTAACTTGACTTAAAAGTTATAATAGACATTTGTGTCTCTAATACAAATAACAACAACAAATTTATGTTTGAGTGTGGTTAAAATCTCAACAATAACAACAACAGCTAAAGATCCACTCTTAAATATTGAGTGTTTGTGTGTGTGTGTGTTTTATTTGATGTTTGATTGTCTTGTGAATTGTTTTTGTTTTTTTATATTTTTTCTTTCTACAATTTATTTTTCATCTTCTATAAATTTGTTAGTAGATTTTATGTTTTTTTCATTTAAAGCTACTCGAAAGCTAAACCGATATAAAAGCAAAGGTTTTTAGCAAAATCATTAACAGTTTATCACAGTGTAATTTAGCAAAATGTTCAAAATTGTGAGTAAAATATAAAACGAAAAGAAGAAAAATATTTAAAATTTCTTAAAAAAAAAAACATAAAATATTTTTATAAATAAACTGTAAAGAATAATAAATATTGTTAAAGAAAGGACATTTATTTACAAATAAATAGTTCAAGGTGTACAAATTATTTAAAGTGTTTAAATCAAATTGAGTGCAAGGACAACGTTCAAGAAAATAATAGCTTTGTTTTTTTTTTTTTAATTTAAAACTAGTTTTTACAAAATAAAAAAGCGGCTTATTAAAAAAAAACATTTGTTAAACTATTTTTAAATGTGGTAAACAAAACAGTTTTGAAACGAAAAACAAATACCAAGTTGTGTGAGATTGGATCTCTCCTGCATGGAAAACATAATACCTACGAAACCGTTCCAATCGTTTGATTCATATTATAATCGTTGACGATCTATATTTTGAAAACTATCCAGCAATTAAGTAATGAAATAAATAGCGGATTAATCTAGTCTTTAGAGTCCACAAGATCATTTCCCAACCGATTTTGAGCGGTTTCAATAATATACCAATTTTTGGTTTTATCCTGTCAATGTTGAAATCAAATTCCATTTCTACTAAATTTTTGGAAGTGATTCATTCTTTTATAAAGAAATTTGCTATTCTTAGGTTAATTAAAAGTTAAAATTTCAAATTAAAATTACAAATTCTAAAATTTTTTAAAGATTCTGTAGACTTTTTAGCAAATTTATTTGACAACTTTAATAACGTGTTTCAAATGTTTATGCTTTTTTTGCTGGAGGGGAGAGAATTATACTTTCATTTTCTTTAAAACAGCGGCAGCGATTATATAATGTTAATTTGTTATTCTTGCCAGAGATGGAAAATTCAATGCTATAGTATTTGTTACAAAATTTGAAAAACATCAAAGAAACTTTATCGTCAACGAAATTCATTCATTCCTTTATGTAAAGTTTATAATACATTTAATAAAATTGTTTTTTTTTTATAAAAAGGACTAGACCCTTATTGCGGATCAAATATTGATTATAAAATTATGTACTGAACTAAAAATCTAAGAGGTTTTAGGTCAATTTCATTATTGAGATTTGTTTATATCGAAATCATTAATGCGATAATTACTAGACTTTGTGTTAAAATTGATTAGATTCTTTCAGATCCCCACATCAATCTTAAATGTCACGAAAACAGTTGTAATCTTTATTTTCGCTTTTGAAGTCCTACTCTTGATATTAATCCAAAGCTTCGCAAGAGTTTAAAATGAATTTAGTTCTGAGGATTAATTCTTAAAGATTTCGATAGATCTGAATTAACTGCCGGATGAATTTTCATTCATTTCAATCACGTTATTACGTCTTTAAAATATTATAACATAGTATTCAGAACAAACTTGCTCAACCACGTGCTTAATTAAGTAGAGAAAATATTGTGATAAGTATTTTTAAATTAAAATTGTTGCTGGGTTATTCTCTCGGCTTGTTTTTCTCAAATACCAATGGAGAGGCGTGGCTAAATGCTTAGAAAATCTCAAATCAAGTTTAAAACTTTTACTAACTTTTCCATATTCTAAATTCCTTTTGTCAAGTTGTTTTGTATGAGAAATTGGAATTTTAAAGCAAATTTATATATTAAATATATTTTAAATATTTCCGACTAGTTTTCTCTTATTACGGTTTAAATTCAGATTGTATGGGTTACTCCTGTTATACGAATTTTAAACCATCCAATAACATGCTTGATCAAAGATCCAACAATGCGACCATTTGCGAATATTACAAAACATAATTGCTCTCTTGAACTACAAATTATCAGTTAGTCTAAACTCTTATTATTCTTCTTATATTTAAAATTCATAGTACTTACTCGGAGAAAAGGGTTCCAATAACCAGAACACACTTCAAATGGTTTCAAGCACTTATTCGCAAATAGAGAAACGGGGTCACAACTTCATATATTTTACAATTTAAGGAATACAAGACTTGTAAAAAGTTTACATATTTTAGGTATGATCTTGTAAAGTTTTCTAACGGGGTCATTAATAGCAGAAATCAACTGCAATAAGTTCTAAGTATTCAAAACAAAAACCTTATATATGTCCTATAAACATTTTGAAAGTTATAGGAACCATTATGATTGTTATTCAAATTTTACTTAGACCTTCATTTATAATTATTGAAGTAATAAGGAATGGACTAGTATGTATAAATTTCTAACAATTTTCAGACATAAAGACATTCAAATTTAATAAGATTACCCAAAACAATAACTAATAATTTGTTACCTTTACTTCCAGTTCGTCTTGACCGCTCTCTTGGCTTTCGCCTATGCCGACAACATCGACAAAGATGCCCAAATTTTGAGCTTAAAAAACGATCCTGCCGATGCTGAAGGTAACTACGCCTACGCTTTCGAAACCAGCAATGGTATCCAACAACAAGAAGCTGGCAATCCCAATGGTGTAGCTGGTTCATACGAATTCGTCTCGCCCGAAGGTGAAAAAATCTTCATCAGTTATACCGCCGATGAAAATGGTTTCCAACCAACTGGTGATCATTTGCCAACACCACCACCAGTACCAGAAGCTATTCTTAAAGCTTTGGAATACATTGCCGCCCATCCTCAACCACAAGAAACTAAATAGATAGATAAGAGATATAGAAAAAGACAAGTGAAAGATGAAAACGTTTTAGTTGAATTTGTAGCGAGAAGAAGAAGAAGAAAGGTGAACAAGTTGCAATTGGTTTAGTTGTAGCAGTAAAATATTTCTTAGAGAGAAAAACTAGTCAATATAAAATTGGTTTACAATATTAAAACTAAGAAATGTTAATTGATTTTTGTTTTGTTATAGTCCTACTTACCTGACTGACCACCTACTCCAATTGCAACTTGTCCACTTAATGACCAAACTATGGCATATTCTCAAAGAAAATAATATTATTTTTTGGTTGTTAGAGAAAAAAAAATCCTTATGTAAATGATATTTTTTTTACATAGTATTAGTTTGTTTTTATTATTGTATTATTTATAGGTTAAACAAAATTTTATCGTTATTTTTGTTCACAATGAAAAAATAATAACGACGGAATAAATATGTTAAAAAATAAAATATTAAATGAATATGATCAAATATATTTGAAACTAAAAAAAGAAACAATTAATCTGTCTTTTTTTTTATTTGCTACTTTTAATAAGAAATGGATATTGTTTTCATCGGAAAACACAAATCAAATTCTGTATATTTGGAATTTTTATTCCCAAGGAATTTTTAATTGAAATATTGGAACCTTCCATTTTAGGCCTAATAATGTGCATTTCAATGTTATTACTAAAAACTAAATTTGTCTGCTATCAGCTGAGAATGTTCGCCAAAAATGATTAATAATTTGTATGTCGATAAGGCAGTGTCTTCTAATTTGATTTCACTACTCATTGTATTGAAAAATGTGTAATGAAAAAGCAAGATAAAAAAGATATTAGGTCACAATCATTATTTGATTCTGAACAAATTACTTTAAACAAATGCGTTACATAGTGCCTAACTTCTACTTAAGTCAAACAGTATTATCGATATTATAAACAACATTTTTCAAAACTTAATAATGTTACCGACCGTTACTTTCGCACCTAAATTATTTGTATAGCAGTTAAAATATTTCAATAATTTCTATAAAATTTAATAACATTTTACTTTTTCAACTAAACTTTAAGTAATAATCAATAAACCACCCACAAATTAAGACCCGCACATATGTCAAAAAAATATATATCCAAAATCCTTAAGTATCAAGTTTATTTTATCTCAATTAACCTTCCATTATAAATATGTAGCTATTAATTAATTTCTTTTGTTTTTTTATATAAAATTTATTTAAATTGTCATAATCTATTATTCTCTTCCTGACTTTTATGCATAAATATTCGCTAATTTGTTTATATTTTTTTTTATTTTCTGCATAAATTCTTGAGATGAACTAGTTTCATCGGCATTGCAAATTTTTATTTTATCGTTAAGGCTTTCGTCATAAAAATTTTTTAAATATTTTATATTTAAATAAAATTGTTAAAATAAACGAATAAAATTAAGTTTTTAATGATTTTAACATCTTGAGCAGACTCCAAATGACGAAGAATGTCTATAATTTGTATGTATATAAGGAATTTTAAATCGAGTTCATATAAGACCTAATTCCGAAAATATCTTAAACTTAAATAAATGTCTAAGACATGTTGGTATCAAAAGCAAATTCCCCAAAAAACATAGTTTTGACTAAAAAAGTGCTATAAAAATCACTAAATCGGACCATACTGCACCACACAGTAGTTTAACAATTTATTTTTTTTGGGAAATTTTAGACAATAGGAGTCGAGTTGTGTAGGTAGCGCAGTGTCCATGTGTTTTATATCCAAGAAAAGAGGAGTCTTCAAACAATCGAAAAAAAAGATGAGAAAACTCTGATAAGTTAGAGGTTAGGTTTATAGGAGTGTATATACTATATTAAATCCGAAAGAATACACCTAGGCCACCAATGTTTGTGTTTAAAAACTATAAATGGCGCCTATATTCTTAAAAATTTTAATAATTTGTTTTAGTCGGGAATATCTGTGATTCCATTTTCAAGGTAAAGGACAAGGTCCGGGAAACACTATGCTGTCGTATAGTGTTGTTATTTATTAATTATGTATGTACAAACATATGAAATCAATTAAAATTGTGGTCAAATAATTTGCAAACATTGAAGTGCATATCTATGTATGTATTAATAATTGAATATAGTGGGAACTTTAGAAAATATGTATGTAAATATGTTTAAGGTTAAAATGAATTGCTGTAAGAGTATGGATGTTTTACCAAATGTATTAAGAATATGTAGTGGCTCAACTTTACTCGGCTGTGTCTTAGGTTTTGAATATTTAGGTAAACAATACTATATTTGGATAACGGAGCCGTAACATGTTGTTTTCAGAAAAATTACACTTTACTGATATAACACCCCCCGGGGCATGTTTCCTTGATAAATAACCCAATCTTGGTGTATTGCAATCCCGAGGTAAGAGGTGCTACCAAAGCTGTGTATTAATAAAATGTTGGATTTGAGCTGCCAATGCAAATATTGGATATGCGTTTGTGTGCAATGTATCATCGGATACTTATATCTGATGGATGAGAGGAATTTTGAGTTGTATCTGTGGAGATGTCGGAATGACAGAAGGAGTGGCGGTTGAAGAAGCTGAGGAGTTGATGGAGACGTTGGCGGAGTTGTTTATACCTTAATCTTTAATTTTTCGATTTTCCTTCATGGTTGAGTGTGTTGGAATTTACTCTAAACATGCTCAACTTATCACAGTAGGTCCTTGTTGCCACTGAAATAAGTCAGACTCATTAAGTATATAGTAGATCTGTGTTTTCGAACCACCAATTACGTCCCTAGGTGCTGTTGCCAACTTTAGATGATGAGAATGTTTGTAGGAACAGAGCCTTCTTCATAGCACCAATAGGGCGTTTTCAACTGATGTTGGATCCGCCCCTTCTATTGGCTCTAACCAATGATAAACATAGTCTAATGAAAGTTAATTTTGTGGCTTAACTTATTAATTTTGATACGTGTTCTTGTAAAGTTCAATACCAATTAAGATGAAGATCATGTAGTTGTATTCAAAACTTGCCAGAATTGCGATGTGGGAACTTACTGAGCATTGATCGATAAGTTATAAGAAAATTTTATGATAGAACGTTTGGAAAGTTCGTTACTAACATAAAAAGTATATCCAGAAGATATTTATTAACTACGTTATTAATACGTATTATATGCATGTATGGTATTATTATTAAAATTGTTTATTTAATTAATTAAAAAATTTTAAAACATTCTTTCTAATTTCATTGATTTGTATTTATTTTTAAATATTTATTTTTAACAAAACCTAGACGCTTTTCAATCTAAATAATTATTATACAATGGATTTTAAATTTAAACTTGTTTTTTATCATCATTATTATAATGATTATGATCGCCATTGTGGTTAACTGTTTAATGGGTTATTAACACTTTCTTGAGGATTTTATTGTGGTGGGGAAAATGTTATTTCTGAAATTCACAATTAAACTAGTTTTATATGATATTCAAGTAGCCAACGGTTAAACACATTCACCTGTCTGTATGCGTATCTGTCTGTCCATATGTTTGTTGAAAGCAATTTTCTGAAGGCGCAGGTACATATCTTCGAACCCAAACTTTGTATCATTCTATCCTTGAACAGTCCTCGGAAATACTTTGTAATTAGAAAAGTGTTCCATAGAATATTTAGATTCTGTTAAAGAATCTGGAGTGGTTTTGTTTGCACCCGTTCTTCTTAGAACTAGTTAATATAAAACCAATTCTAAAATACTACGGTGACAGAAATTTAAGATAACAGAATTTCGCAGTTCATTAATTATGGATTTTTATGTGTTCACTTAATATAACGGAATTTTGATGTAAAATAATGTAATTTGTAAATATCATTTTAAGGAAATTTACATTTCTTCCAACAAACAATTTTACCATTACCACAAAATAAGTATATACAGTGTCTCTCATAAGTATTCGAATTTAGGTATAATATGAAAAGAAACCAAATTTAATAATATATTTTGAATGCAAAATTAATAACCTAATTTGTTAAATTGTCTAGACAGACCTTAGCTTTGATATCACACTTTATAAAACTTTAAAAATTCACATTTACTTAAATAAAATTTAACTTTTTTTTAAAAAAAGTCCATAAAATTACTTCACAAAAGTATACGAATTTTTCCTGTATTTCATATTTGACTATATTATACGAAACACAAAAATTAGAATCGAATGTTTTTTTTGCTAAAAATTGTTTTAAGGGGTAACTATCAACCGAATGAATATATTTTTGACCCATTTGGTCCACAATTTTGAGGCATTTGTGACATCTTTTCATGTAATATCATTAAAATGGCGATTTTTGGCAATATTTGTATTTTTTTTCTCCTTTTTCCCAGAGATAAAACCAAAATTTGTTATTGGGATTTAATATACCCCTTGAGGTATCTAAAAATAATATTTTTTGTTACAAGAATCTGTATTTAAACGTTCCAATATATATTATTGGAATCATTCTTCTATCGCTAATTCAATTTATTGGAACTCAAGTCCATTTTTATAATACCAGGGTCAAAATTTTTCGGGGAAACTTGTCTTCTATATATTGTTTTAGATATCAATTGTTATACATTTTAAGTTTTCAATATATTGTGGAAGTGAACGATTCCAAAGCATGCCTCGAAGAAACGCCATTCAATATAGTGGAATCATTCTTTTTATAACCAATGGCCTCTAGGCTGAATGTCACCATATCATTATGGTCTAACTCAAAAATATTGATATCTGTTTAAATATTATCTACTATGATCAAAATAAACCCAAAATTTTGGACATACAGCGTTGTTGTAATGGGCAACATAATCGTGAATGTTATGAGTAATAAAAACTGAAATCTACTGTATAGGATGACGTTTTGTTAAGGCATGTTTTGAAGTTGTATACCACTACGATGCTTTGAAAATTTAAAATATATTAGTGCTAATATATACAATAATATATACTAGCCAACTTTGTCGGAAAATATCGATCCTAGTGATGCGAAAAGGGACTTAAGATCCAGATAATTCAATTAGAAACAGAAAAACGATACCAAAAATATATCTTGGAATGTTTAAGTACAGGTCCTTATAACAAAAATTATTATTTTTAGATACCTACCTCAAGGAATCTATTAAATCCCAATATTAAATTTTGGTTTTATCTCTGGAAAAAGAGAAAAAAATGGCAAATATGGTCAAAAATCGTCATTTTAATGATATTATATGAAAAGATGGTACAAATGCCCCAAAATTGTGGGCCAAATGGGCCAAAAATATATCCTTTCGGTTGATAGTAACCCCTTGAAACAATTTTAAGCAAAAAGACCATTCGATTCTAATTTTTGTGTTTCGTAAAATATGGTCAAATATGAAATACAGGAAAAATTCGTATACTTTTGTGAAGTAATTTTATGGACTTTTTTTAAAAAAAAGTTAAATTTTATTTAAGTAAATGTCAATTATCCAAATTGGAGTATGATATTAAACCTTAAG